TTTTCTCTTTCCAGCAAATTGCTACTTCACTCCTTCCCCAAATCTCCCCGTTCCCGCTCAACGACAAAATTATGTGAAAAGTTGGGAGAAAAATGGCACAGTAATTTCCTCTGCAACCCTGGGCGTGTAAAGGGGAAGTGGCTTGGCGTGGTGCCCGGCCCTCCACTAATTGTTGATGGGGGCAAGCGACAACAATTGGTGGAAAACGGGTACGACCCGCGCCAAATTCAACCTCTTTTGACACACCCCAGGGTCTGCAGCGGAAATTACTAGAGGTAGCAAGGAAAGGGAGGTCAGGGGAGCAGCTTCGAGAAGAGTCGTGTTTTGAACATCCTTTACAACAATGTTCTGCCCTGCTCGATTGGTACTTTAGTCTCTCTTGGTGGGCTTTCCTTGAATACTTAGTAGGCCTGGAAACGATGCTTTCGTTTTAGGTGTGCAGACTTCGGGTCGTGATGCACGGGTTTGGATATTCGCTGTGCTTTGGAGTGATGATCGCTAAAGCGACTCAACTGCGCAACGCTGAAACACTCGGATTCGGCAATGTGGTTCATATATCGTTCTGGAACTACTGGCTGTTATTGTTTTTCATCATCGGGGTCCAGATTGCCCTCAACACCAGGTAAGAGCTTTCGTTCTTCCAAGCTATGCGAATGGGCGGAGAAAAGACGAAGGAGACAGAGACAAACTCGTTATTATGCCTCTTCCACTAACTCCCCTCCCTCTGTTTACCTCTGTGGTACCGCAGTAGGGCGTACCGATGGGACAAACACGGTGATTGTTAATCTCCGCCCACTCGACTATCACGGAATGTGTGTGTTCGATTTGCAGCCAATCCATTTAGATGGTTTGCCGAGCCATTCATGTCAACACTAGCCGTAACGGACACCCATTCCGAAATGGTCTGCACCCTCGGCAAGCAGGAGTTTGTGTTTGCCAACGTCTACGTTGTCATTCTACTCTTCCTTGCGCTATTCATCAACAGCATCAACAGAAACATCAAGAGGAACTATAAGGTCAGTTATAAAGAACTTTTCTCTCAGGCAGCGAGTTAAACCACGCTTTCAGGAGACCAAATGGCTTTTCGTTTCATCAGTGCTCTGCACACTTATATGGCTCTGTTGGATAGTGGCGTACCTGATTGTACCAAACGAGATTAAGGTATGTACTGGACTTAATTCTGAAGTATGAGGCCGGAGAGCTGTAGTACGCCCGAGCCACCAGATCAGGCGATACTACAGTCTGTCTCTTGATTCCCAATATTTCAAAAGGGCTTTCCACGTTTGTCAACTGGGCGG